GGGATTTTAGTGAGAAGGGCCTTGAAAGCCAGGCAAAGAGATTGGGTCTTTATCCTGCAGGCTTTGGGAGCCACAGGAGTTGAAAATTCCTAGAACTATGGAAATATTATGGCGGGGTTTCTATGATGTCTGTTTTTACAAAATCCCCTGAAGCGGTGCTTATCAAACCATCTGTGGGGAAGGACTGTTCTTTAAAACTTTCTAATCTGTCACAGACCAATACTTTTGTTAAATACAAGGAAAATGAATTACTAGAAAAATAAAATTTTAAAAATACAAGCCTATTTTTCTCATTATGAGATTCAAGACAAAATTACTCTATCAAATTGCTCTACGAGTTCTCAACCCTTAATTTCTGCACCCACTTTGATAGAGATGAGCTTGTCCAGGGATCTTTGTTACAGGCACAGGTTGAGGACAACACAGGTTCTCCTAGTAAGAGTTAAGTACTCTCAAACAAATCCCATTCTGGAGATGAGGAATCTGTTGCTCAGAAAAGGTAAGTGGGTGGCCCAAGATCACACAGCTGGTGAGGGACAGGCCTGGGATTCAAACCTGGGGCTTTCTGCCTTGCTGTACTCAACCCATGTGGCAGGTGCAGCCCAGTCCCTCAGCAGAGCCTTGTCCCAGTCCCTTAGCCTTATCCCTCCCCTTAACACGAGGTCAAGAGCCCTGCAGATGGGGAAAGGGAGTCAAGATAAGAAGGGAACTTCCTTGCCCAGGGTCCACTGCAAGAGGGTGGCAGAGGCGGCCAGCCTCCAGGTCTCCTGACACCAGCCTGTGATCAGTTTCGCCACTCTGCCTACCTTCATGTCTGTGCAATGACCTCTAGGCCAGACAGTGCCAAGGAGGGCAGGGGTAGGAGAGGCAGGAAGAGGCAGGGAATGCATCAGTTGCTGGCAATTACACAGTGCTTTGTTATTCTTAATTAGCTCAGCAGCTCTATAGCCAGAGACATCGCTATGGATGTCCAGGCTGAGAAGGAGACAGCTGCTGGTCCCGCCCAGGAGGGCAGTCTGGGCCAGTAGGGGCCCCTCAGGAGCACCTCCCCCAGCCCCTTTAGGTGGTGCTGCTTCTCCGACTGCAGAGGGTCACCCACTTGCTGGAACCAGAGGACAGAACTTAAGTCAAGCCCTTGGTTGTGTATTGAGCACCTCCCCTGTGCCAGGCACTGGTCAGCTGCTCTCAAGTACCCTGGGGTGAATGATGGTTTCCAGCCCCCGTGCTTGAGGCATGCTCAGCTGCTGGGGAAAGCAAACAGTTTCACCAAAAACCATAAAAAATGAATGATAACCAGTGTTACCATTTACTGAGCACTTGTCACATGCCAGGCATGGAGCTAAGCATTTCCCATATATTATCTCACTGCAGCCTTGCAAAGCCCTCTAAAGCACGTAATATCTTCATTGTACATATGAGGAAACCGAGGCCCAGTTAGCTAAAGTTCCGTGTATATAGATGGAGGCTCTGATTTTAGAGCCCAGGTATATAGAACTCCAAGATCAAAAAGTTGTCTAGGAGTGTGTGTGTCTGTGTGTGTGTGTGTCTGTGTGTGTGTGCACGCGCGCACACACCTATTGGGGAGGAAAGACAGGTGTGTGGGTAGCTGTGACTGCAGGTGTTGGGGAGGAGGCCAACCAGATGTTCAGTGCAAAAGTGAGGAGGTGACCTGGCTGGATGTTTCTGCAAGAGGAAGGAGCATGGAAAAGGTCTAAGGAGGGAAGGGTTCCGAGGCGACTGGTTGGGGCTGCTGGGTCGGTGGGACACAGCAGGCAGGAGAGGAGGCCCTGTGGGCTTGGTGAAAGGTCAGAGCCAAGTCTAATCAGAAATCCCAGGGCAGTAACCCAGGTTCCCTCAGATTCCCTGGGAAAGGGCCGTCTCCCGCCTGGGTCTGAGGGGAGTGGGGGTGGGGGGAGCAATGAGGAGAGGTTGAACTACCCACAGCTCAGACTGAGCCAGGCTGGTTCCAATCCCAAGAGAGCTCCTATCCCTGGGAGCCAGTCAGAAATTATGGTAATAATAACCACTCCATCTTCACTGTTCACCCAGTGAGGAAAGTGATTTTAGTTTTATTAAAATGTGACATAAACAGCACTTATTATATGCCAAACATAATTCTAAAGATGTCCCAAATGTTAATTCTTTTAGCCACCCATTTTTACAGATAAGGAACTGAGGACTGTGGGATTTAAATGACTTGCCTAAGGTTATAAAGTAGGGAAATGGGGGAGATGGAATCCCAGACTCCAGTGTTCATGGGTTTCACCACTGTGCTTTGCTGGTTGGCTGGGGCGGGGCGGGGGGGGCAGCGGAACACACACTCTGCTGTAAAAACTCCTATTTTACAGATGGAAAAACTGAGACCTAGTCAGGTGAAGAGACTAGTTCAGGAAGACAGATTATTTGAGGAAATCAGGGCTCCTGATCCCAGTCTAAGGCTTTGGTCTTGGTCCCACTGCAAGCCCAAGTAATAGCTGGAGAGAAGCCGAGAGCCCTCCCAGCTCCCTGGCACCCACTGTCTCACTGGGGTCCCATGAGGGCCCAGTGGGGGAGAAAACAGTAAGATTACAATTCTGACACCATTTTCCTAAAGACAAAAGCCAGTTATTCCCATAGGTAGCTTTTCCCTCCCTTTTATTTATTTATTTTTTTCCTTCTGATTATTAAAGAACATAAGATCACTGTAAAATTTTTTACAAAGTTAGATCAGATAAACAAAAAAGAAAACAAAAAAGAAAAGCCACCTTAAAACTCTTTCTTGAGTACTGGTGTACTTTCAAGATTTCTTTGCTCCCTCTCTGTTTTCATAAGCATCCAAGCTAGGAGGTAAGAGACTTGGCTTCTGGTCCAGGCTTGCTGTGTGACCTTGGGCAAGTCTCTGCCCTTTTCTGGGCCTCAGGCTCCTCACTTGTGAAATGAGGCTTTGGACATGGTGACCTCAGAGGAGGCCCCTCGCAGCTCTGACCTTCTGTTTCTGCTTCTGTTTCTGGGACTAGCAGACGGGGCACAAGCAGGCTGCCCCTCTGCGGGGGATGCATGGCTGACAGCTCCCAGCAGGTCACCTCCGGCAGGATGAGATGGCCCTGGAAACAGCCTTCACTGCAGCACAGAGTGCCCAGGCTTGCCTGCTTACCAGGCCCATATGGTACCCCCTGCCAGCCGGACACCACCAGCTGCCCTTCACCAGCCAGCCCTGGGTGATTACTTTTCCTTCAGGCTCCAGAATGTTCTCTCTGCCCCAGGGCCTAGCTGGCTCAGGGCTGGAGGACTCAGCCCTGGGGACCTACCTACACATCACCATAGCCCTTTGCAAGAGAGGTTAGCCTGATGTGGTAAAAAGCTCGAGAGAGGATGGAAGGGAGGGAAGAAGGGAGGAAGGAAAGAAACACTGACTGTATTCCAACTCCGTTTGGACCCCTTGTTAGGCATTTGGGATTCAGAAATAAATCAGAAAAACTTATTGCCCTTGAAGAACACAAAGTCTGGTGGAAGCAAATAGAGTAGAAATGGGCAGCTGCAATACTGCTGAAAGCTCAGGCTTGTGGCATCCCACAAGAAGTCTGATGGATGTTAGTCGGGAAAGCTTCCTGGAGGAGGCAAGTTTATAGGTGAGTTCTTCTTAAGGAGAAGACTCAGACTTTCCAACTCATGTTATTTATTACAGACAGCCCTGTGGAATAGGTATTGTTGCCCCTTATACAGATGAGGCTCAGAAAGGTGAATTCACAACCACCAAAAGGAGGAAAGCTGAGTTCAGACTCCTGGCATTCTACTCTAGCCTAAGGCACTGGGTTTGAGTTCGATCCTGGCCTCTGACTTGCAGAAACCTGCAGTGAGTGCTTCTCTCCCAGGCCTTGGGCTCTTATCTGTAAAGTGGGTCTACTACTGGCTGCAGCGTTGCTGAAGCAAAGGACAGAATGGCCGAAAAAGCACTTAGCTTATAGAGGAATGTCAGCCTCCCTGTCCCGCTGGTGACAGCACAGTCCTGTTTTTCCCCCAACATGGGAACAGGACTCCTGCCTTCTGAGCCAGAAGCAATCCCAGAGACGGAAGGTCACCTTACTGATGCAACATGCCCACCCCCCAGAAGCCAGGCTGTGGCCTGGATATATGTGCTCTCCTTTTGACCCCCTTTGGTAAAGCCTGACAAGAAGGTACAGGATTCTAGAGAGAATTCTAAATCCTGGACTTAGAACATCTGTGCTTGAGGAATTCTAGAATCCAGACTCCTCTTGAAGTGCCTCCTATCAAGCAGGGAAGCCTCTGGGTCAAGGTCTGGTAGATTGGAAGGATCACTAGAGACAGGATCTCATCTCACTTTACAGATAAAGATTAAGACCCAGAGAGGTGAAGGATTTGCCTGAGGTCAGTCACACTGAAAGTCAGTGCTAAAACTAAGACTCCTTTCCCCACACCTCAGAGCATAACACCAAGGCCACACTACCTCTGAGGCTACTTGGGGAGTAGGGGGGGCAGGGGGCCACCCAGAGTGCCCAGGTGGTGCCAGGGAGCAGGCTGAGTCTGTTGGGCGAGTAAAGTGCCCAACGGGTCTTGCTAAGGCAAACTTTATACTCCGGCCCTGTTCCCAGCAAAGTTCTACCACCGTCAGCTCTCTTTCCAAGCCTCCCACTGCAATGGGCATCACCTTCCTCTTGGACAAGCCCATTCTCTCCCGTCCTCAGTCTCCCCATCTGTAAAATGGTCTCAAGTAACTTTCAGCTGTCTAGAAATCCTAGGCCAGCGCCTCCCGCGGCGGGAGAAGCGGCTCTCGGACCCTCAGCCTCCTACCTGGTGGGAAATAAGGGGTTTGGGGAGATAGAGGAAAAGAGGGGGCGTCGAGGGCTTTCGGCTCGCTGCCTCAGGGGCGCCCTTTGTCTGGACGGCCTTGGGGAAATGGGGCAGAGACCGGGCGGGGCGGGGCCGGGGGCGGAGCCTGGCCGGCCCTCGCCCCGCCCCGGCGGACGTCGGCGCTGAGCTCGTGCGGGGGAGGGGAGGAGCGCGGAGCCCGTGAGCCACCCGGCCCCGGCGGAAAGTTTTCCCTGACGGAGTTTTGGCTGCGGCGGCGGCGGCGGCGGCGGCGGCCCGAGCGGCCATGGACGCACTCAAGTCCGCCGGACGGGCGCTGATCAGGAGCCCCAGCCTCGCCAAGCAGAGCTGGGGGGGCGGCGGCCGGCACCGGAGTGAGTGCGTGCGCGACCACCGGGGCCCGGCGGGGGCCGGGCGGGGGTCGGGGCGCACGGACGCCTCTCCTCAGAGCCCCGGGAGCGGGGGAGAGGCAGGGCCTGAGTCGCTCCCTGCGGTCCGGAGCGACCTTACTCGGCCCTGCGGGATTCGGGGTCGCCGAGGGTCAAGCTGCGTTCCTACTCCCGTCCCCATTCTGTGCGGCTGGGGAGGAAGGGCAGAAGCTGGGGGAAGAAACCGGAGCTCGGCGTCCCCAGGTGCGGGCTGCAGTCGGAGGGAGGTTGCAGGTCAGAGGAAGAGACTTGCGCGACCCTAGCACGTCCCCTCTTTGGACAGCCCGGGGAGGCAGGAGCTCAGCGTCCGTACCCGGGGGAGGGGGCAGGGGGCAGGGCCTTGGGAAGATACCCCCATCCCGCACCCTAGCACTCTGGCCCCGAGGTCAGCGGCCGGCGGTAGCCCCCTTGCCCCCTTCCCCTAGTCCAACCCACGACGTTACCTTTTGACTCCCGGGCGCCCAGAAGCCGACTCAGTGTGAGCCCGGGTTTGCAGGTACCTACTTGAAGTTGGGGGCGAGGCTCAACCTGGGGTCTCGGGAGGTACCTACCACACACCGGCCCATCTAGACCTCGTTGTCGCCTCCTCTGGCTGGGTCCAGGTGCCACGGCCGGCCTCCTCGCTATTTTTGAAATCTGTTTGTTTCTCGCACCTCCCCGCTTGAACTTCCGATGTCCCTGGGCACCCGGGCGAATGGCAGACTCTGCCGCCACCTCTCCCAGGGGCGTCTGGGAGCCTGGGAGGAACCTCACCCGGCTCCCCCTCCTCTCCCTGTCTCCAGTTACTCTCAGGGAACCCGTCACCTGGCACCCTCCCCTGAGGCCTGAGAAACCCAGCCCTTTTCACGAGGAGAAACGGAGGGGCTTGTCTGGGGTCACTCAAGCCTTCCTGGTAGATATGGAGCCAAAGCCAAGACTCCTGCACACTGCCCCCCATGCCCCAACCGCCTGGGACCCTGGCCTCTTCAGGCACCAGGAAGCCGCTGTCAGTACAGTCACACCCCACCCCCTTCCCTCTTGGCCTTCCAGGGCTCTGCCAGGGGAGCCCTAGTTCGCTAGGCCCAGGAGAGGCCCAGGAGTGCCAGCGTGTCTGAGCCTAGGGAGCCTGCCCTGCCCCACCTCTTGCCCGGCTCTGTGGTTCCAGCTGTGCCTGCCTCCTAAACCAAGACAAGACTGGCATTGGGAATGTGGGCTGGTGTCTACGGGTGGGGGTGGGGTCAGAGACCATTAGGACTGGACTAGGCCAGGGATGCACCCGTCTCCCACATTTATTGACTCCCAAAATAGCTCCTTTAAATATTTGTGGGATTTGATCAGGACTGAGAATGACGGCCTGTTCCAGTGGGGGAACCCTGCAGTTTTCTCTAGGGATAAGGGAGGGGGGCGGGGCTCTGGGTAAGGGGAGGAAACTTAGGAGCCCCCCTTCCCTTGGTATCCTTCACTCAATATGGGGAAGAGTGAGAGTTAGCCACCTTGGATGGTGGGAAAGCGCTTCTCCTGCCTGCTCTGATGTTGGACAAGTCACTTGTCCTTTCTGAACCTCAGTTTCCTCATCTGCAAAATGGACATAACAATTCTGACCCCATAGGGATGTTGAGAAGGTTATTGACAATAACACTTCCTTCTGGCACCTAACTGGTGGTTTCCTTCTCCCCCATTCCCCTTCCCGCTGCCTGTCGTGGACCTTCAACATGATACTTAATGTGGTGGAAAGAGTTTTGGGGGCTTAGAGCCTGTCTACGTCTGTGGAGGAAAGAAGAGGAGAGCCCCCTTCCTATTAGGCAGACCCCAGTGAGCCCAGAGTGCCATCCTGGAGCCTTCTGGATCCAGAATAAGCGAGGGCGAATCCCCACCTGTCCCTGGTTATTAAGTCAGTTTTCTGATCTGTAAACTGTTAATAACAGGAATACCCACCCACCACAGATTTTTTTTGGGGGGGTGCAGGTTAACTGAAATCATGTTTTGCCTGGCATAGAGAAAGAGTTCAATAAATGGTAACTACTGCTTTTGTCCCTCTACCTTTTACATAGTGTTTTTGCCTCCATTATTGCATTTGCTCCTCAGAGGTGACAGAGCAGGGATTCTTATCAGATTCATTTCTCAGATAAAGGAGCCTGAGGCTCAGGGAAGTGGAGTCACTGGCCCCAACATGGCCACAAGTAGAGAGGGAAGCCATGGGGTGTGTCTGGGGTGGAAGTGCTGGGGCAGCCTGGCCTGTGGTGGTGTCCCAGCCAGGCCTTGGACCCAACCCTCAAGAAGGTCTGAGCCCTGTGCTTGAGTTTTGGGGCCAGGCTGAAGCCACTGGAGTTAAGGTTAGATTTTTTTTTTAATGTTTTTTTTTTTTCTTATTAGTCACCCTTTTTTTTGTGTGTGTGGTACGCGGGCCTCTCACTGTTGTGGCCTCTCCCGTTGCAGAGCAACAGGCTCCGGACGAGCAGGCTCAGCGGCCATGGCTCACGGGCCCAGCCGCTCCACGGCATGTGGGATCTTCCCGGACCGGGGCACGAACCCATGTCCCCTGCATCGGCAGGCGGGCTCTCAACCACTGCGCCACCAGGGAAGCCCTAATCACCCATTTTATACACATCAGTGTGTACAGGGTTAGATTTGATACCCGCAGTCGGCTATGACTTGCTCCTCACCCCTCAAGGTCCTCAGCTGGGATTAGCGTGATCATTGTTTTATTTGCAGAGAAACTGGAGTCCAGAGAAGGACTTGCCTGAGGTCCCAGAGCAAAGCCAGCAGCAGACAGCTTTCTTTGCCCTGAACCTCATGGCTCCCTGTCTCCCAGTTAGTGCTGACTTTGAAGGAGGGCTCTCTCCTTCTCCCACACATGGCTTTTCCCCCACCTCTTTGGGAACCATAAATATTCTGTCTCAGTCCCTTGCCTGGGTTTTCCTTTCTTCCAGCTGCCTGGAAGGGTGGTTCACCCTGGCCCCTCAGTGCCCTTATTTCCAAGAGGAGTCCCTCTGACCCTCGGGCTCCTCCACGGGTTGTCAGAGAATTCCATGAGAATGGGTAGAAACAAAGCTGGTTTCAACAAAGCTGGTTCATGGTGGTAGGCGGGGGACGGAAGATCTATTCATCCTTATTTATAATGTTTATAATGAAAAATATAAATAAACCCCAAACCATAATATGTATTGAGCACTGACTGTGTGTCGGGCACTGTTAGAGGTGTTGGCGAGTCTGGGGAATGCATGCATCTCTCTTTGGATAGCGCCAGCCCTCTCGGGGAGGAGGTAGACAGCATGACCAGGGTGCAGATAAGTGGGGTGCTTGTGGGTAGTGGTGACGCCAAGAGGAGGAGGATAAAGCCGGTGAGGGAATGATGGGTGGTGTCTTTGTTTGGGTTTTTCTAGAAGCAGATGCTGAGATAGGGATCTGAGTAAAGTCACTTATTTGGGAAGAGATCCCAGGAAATGATCCCAGGAGAAGCAAGAAAGGAAAGGAGTCCAAAGAGTGGACAACATGAAGCCAGTTTCCATTGTGGGTGGCTGGGATGCCACCTGTGGGGAGCTCTGGAGCAGTTACTCCATTTGAGGGGCAGTTCCTGTCAGTGGTGGGAGGGGGCTGCTGGGAACAGGAGCTCTTACTGCCCCAGCCCCCGTGGGCATCTGAGTCTCCGGCAGCCAGAGAGTGGCGTGTCAGGGTGGCGTGTGTGGAAATGGTACCCACCAAGGAGATAAAGGTGGGGCACTGAGAGTGTCAGTGCAGGGGGTCAGGGAAGGCCTCTTGGAGAAGGTGTGGAACACACATATGAATACAGTACAAGGAGGGAGGAATCTGGGAACAGCATTCCAGCCAGAGGGAGCAGCAAGTGCAAGGGACATTTAACTGGAGGCTGGGACGCTGCTTCTCACAGGTCTGGCGGCAGAGGGAGGGGTGTGTGGCTTGAAGGAGTCAGGTCACCCACTGCCCACTGAAAGTGAGCCAGACGCTCCTTTCGGGCAGCCTTCAGGACAGGATACCCGTTCTTCTTGGATGACCCTGAGCCTGGCCCTGCTCATGGGAAGGGGCTTGGCGCGCTGCAGGAGAGGGCAAAGAGCACAGCTATGGATTCAAGGCCCAGCACTGTGGATTATGAGTCATGGCCAGACCCCTCTGAGTGTCTTCATCTGTGAAATGGGAGTCCTAATATATCCTTGACTCTTCTCATAAAGTACTGCAAATGGCTATGTACACATTAAAGCTCTTTGCACTTGACCCTTGGTAATGACACAACACTCACACTTGGTATCTACCAGGTACCGTTCTAAGCCTACCTCATGCATACTAATTTCATCCTCACAGCAACCCCATAGGGTGGGTACAGTTGTTGTCCCCATTTTTAAATGACGAAGCCAAGGACCAGGGGGGTAGAGTGACTGTGAACCCCACAGTCCGTCTCCAGACCTCATCATTTTAACCTTGACAGCATATTTTTTTCTTACAGTATAAGTAGGTACTTAGGAATGGTAGCTGCTGCTATTATCTTTTTTTTTTTTTTCGGCCGGGCCCCCGCAGTGAAAGCGCCGAGTCCTAAACACTGGATTGCAGGGAATTACCTTTTTTAGATTATTATTTTCTTTTGATAGTCTTAACAACTTCTCAAATTTGCCTAGCACTTTTCACATGCTGAACCTTTTTCTGATGATGCTCCTGCAGGCCTGAGCCCATTTGTCAGATAAGGAGACTGTGGCCTAGAGAAGCAGCCACACTCCAGGTCACAGCAGAGCTTGGGTCCTTTTTTGAGGTGTCACTCTGTGGCTCCTGAGGCCATATCCCCACCAGGCCGGAGGAGGCTGGAGGCCAGGACCCCTGCTGGAGGTTCCCCCCTGCCCCATGGGTTTGGCTGCAGTTCTGATGTTCCAGGCACCAGCCAGGCTGGGTCTCCCAGGGCAGCAGAAGGGGCACAAGGGCACAAGAGCTCTGACTCCTGGGCAGGGGCCCGCTTAATAAGAAAAGAGTACATGTTTGCAGCTACAAGTTAGACTGGGCATATGGTCCGTCCATCCCCAGCTAATTCTGACAGCAGGTCATCTGTAAAATCGTAAAGTTAAAATAGTGCAGTCATTACCCACGACCGGGCCAAAAATAACGAGGACCGGAACAGCGCTGTGGACTCAGGCCTGTATTTGCCTGGTGGCCTCCGGGAGCTCTTCCTGAAACCCTGGGCTCCTCCTGGGAAGGAGCATGTGGCCTCCAGCCTATCTGAGGTGGCTGGATGGTGACCGGGCCAGTGTAGCAGTGAACCCTACCTCTGTCTTTATTGAGTGCTATTTGGTTCTGGTTTCTTCAGGGAGGGAGTGGGGGTGTGAGAGAACTTACACCTCACTGAAGAGATGAATCATGCCCAGAAGTATGGGCGCGGAGGCAGGGTTCCGTGGAGGGGCAGGAGGATCTCTGCTGGGCCTGGGAGGGGCAGGGAGAAGTAGAATGAGATAGCAGCAACGTTGAGCAGGGATGCGCCTTCTCCATACGAGCTCCTGGGGGAGGCAGACATGCGTGGCAGTCCTTCAAGAGGAAGACACGCAGCAGGCAGCTGCTTGGTGGTTGTGATACGGCTGTGGGAGGAAGAGAAGGAGATCCATACTCAGGAAGGGCAGGGACAGGCCCCAGGAGGCAAAACCACGGGTGGGGCCCTGTGCTAAGCACATTACATTTTATTGTCTCATTATCTCATTACATTTTATTATCTCATTATCTCATGTGTTATTATCTGATCAAAGGGTCACCACAGCCCTGTGAGCTGCAGACTTTTGCTTCTCCCACTTTATAGAAGAGACAGCTGAGGCTCAGGGAAAGTAATTAACTTGCTCAGGCTCACTCAGTGGATTTTAGGATTAAGGCCCTTGCTCTTAAACCACTAGGCTATATTCCCTCAAAGAAGGCCTTCCTGGAGGAGGCTGGGTGCGAGGGGTTTCAATCAAGCAAAGGGAAGGGCATTTCTGGTAGAGGGAGCTCCTTGAGCAAAGGCACAGAAGTGGGAAAGTAAATGTAACGTCACGGGAAGAAGCTGTGTCTGATTGTATCGTCTGCTGTGTGCGTGCCTGCATGTGTGTGCGTGTGCTTGCATGCAGGGATATTGTGGGGGAGACGAGGCTGGGCAACCTATAATTTCACAACAGTCCTTGTGGGAGTTGCCTGTAGTGCTTTGGGAGCTGGGGTCCCTCTGATTGCTGTGTGACCTTGCACAAGTCCCATCCTTCTCTGGGCCTCAGTTTTATCATCTGTCAAGTGAGGAGGTTGGGCAGAGGGTCTCTGAGGCTGATGAGTGGCAACCAGTCTACCAGGGCTATGTTCCAGGAGGCCATAGAAGAGGGGAAGGGTCAGGCCAGGGAGGGAGAATTGCAGAAAAATGCCGAGTATTTCAGAGGTCAGGGGGGACTGGGGAATGTTTTGACAGCAAAGAGGTCGTCTGTGACCTTGGCAAGCTTTGGCCCTTTTGGAATGAAGGGAGCGGAAGTGGCTTTGGAGAGGGGCCAGGAAAGGGCTGAGCTGGCGGAAATGGGAGAGAGAAGACATGAAAATGGGGAGAGGAAGGATGTTTGCTGTGGGGCAGGGATGGGTAATGAGATGAACAAGGCCACCCCTGATGGATTGGTATTGCCAGCCAGGAGCCTTTTATTGAGAAACAGTCCAAAGCCTTTAAATCAGAGGGAATAGGGCTGCAGTTGATTAGCAATGTCTGCCAAGGACACAGGCGACAGGCATGGCAGCACATAGTCTGCCACCCTTGCTTAGATGAATATCGAGTTGAAAGTGGTGGTCTAGGCATCTCCACACAGAGAGGAAGCCTCAGGAATTAAGAATTATGGGGGGAAATACCTCTGGCTCTAGGAACTTCTCCATGACCTTTTGCTAAAGGAGGGTAGTTTGCCTCATGGCAAGATAGTTTGCCTAATGGTTAGGAACTTGGGCTTTAAGTGTCAAATAGACAACTAATTTGGCAAATTACTTGTCCTTTGAGCCTCAGTTTCCTCCTCTGTGAAATGGGAATGAAAGAATGCCAGCTTGCAAGGTAGCCGTGTTAGAGGTAATGGTAAGAGCTGCTGCTTTGTTGTTACTGTAGCTCTGTTTTGCCCTGATGGTGGCAATATTCTTGGTTTCTTTGAGAGCAAGGCCCATGTCTGAGTTGCTCCAGGGTGCCCATCACCAAACCCAGGCCTGGGACACCTCGGGGACTTTCTGATTCTCTTTGGAGGATCAAATGAAATAGACTCATGGTTGATGGGACAGAGGATGGGGTCACTTTGGGGTCTTCTCAGTGGGGGTTGGCTTCATGTGGGGCGGAGGCCTAAGGGCAGAGGCTGGAGGGCAGTGGTCCAGGGTCCAGAGCTGAGGATGGAGTTGGGGCACTGCAGGCCTGAAAGCCTTGGGGTTGTCTGGGTTCCTTCACTCAGGAATGCCAGCTGCATGC